GCCATCCTTGGGGCCTGATTCTCCATAGCCCGCAGAGTCAGCCAATCAGTCCTGTGGATTCTACCTGGGAAATGTCCCTCCCAACCTCCCCATTCCCACTCTCTCCCTTTAGCTCCTTTCTACATCATTTCTGGCCCCGATTATTACAAAAAACACCTTTTTTCTGTTTTTTCCCCACTTTTGTTATTTTCTCCATACTAGGTCTAAAATTATGCGCGCATGCACTAGCACATACACAAAAACTCATCCAATGCCACTTGGAATCGTAGAATGATTTTCATCCTCAATCTCCTCGGTTCAGGAACAAAGAGGTCATTCCCAACTTTTTTATATTTTTTTCAACAAAACTGTTGAGAGCCACAGCCGAAGGGGCCCCAGCAAACTTCCAGCTGCCAGCAAACTTCCAGCTGCCGGCTGATGATTGGCTCACAGCGGCCCCAGCAACATCTAGCTGATTGGCTCCTCTGCGGTGATGCTCATTGGGCTGTTTCCCTGCCCTTTCAGACCACGGAGCTGCTCATTGGGGGACTTTTTTGGCTCCTTGTATTACCTTAGATAATTGACCTTGTAAACCTCCATATGCTAGGAGGTCCCCAACCCCCGCAGTTGATAGTTGGGATCCTGAGACAAGATCTCAAATATTAACATGCCCTGTATTTGAGGCAGGAGGGCAGCAATTTTACCAAGTTTTAAATTTCAAAACAGTGAAGCAGCTAAAAGAGGCTGTAACAACCTATGGTCCTCAAGCACCCTTCACTGTAAGCATGGTCGAATCCATTAACAACTTGAACATGACGCCAGCAGATTGGGCTAATATGTGTAAAGCTGTGCTAAATGGAGGACAATACCTGTTATGGAAGGTTGCCAATGAGGAATTTTGCAAGGAGACGGCTAGGCGAAATGCAGCAGCTGGTTATCCTCAGAGAAATCTAGATATGTTGTTAGGAAAGGGACCTTATGAGGATCAGCAGCAACAAATTGCATATGATCCTGGCGTATACGCACAAATTGCTGCAGATGCAATTAAGGCATGGAAGACTTTACAAGGACATGGAGGTTTACAAGGTCAATTATCTAAGGTAATACAAGGAGCCAAAAAAGTCCCCCAATGAGCAGCTCCGTGGTCTGAAAGGGCAGGGAAACAGCCCAATGAGCATCACCGCAGAGGAGCCAATCAGCTAGATGTTGCTGGGGCCGCTGTGAGCCAATCATCAGCCGGCAGCTGGAAGTTTGCTGGCAGCTGGAAGTTTGCTGGGGCCCCTTCGGCTGTGGCTCTCAACACAAAACTCTAAGGAGCAGTTACAGCTTTGGAGATGTCCTTCATTCCCCGAGGATGAATTTCTTGCAATGAAATTGCTGAATCCAAGAATATGTAAATTTCCAAAGACACTTGATGTTTATATTAGCAAGCAGTCCTTCAGAAGCATCGTGCCGAGTTACAGTCACCAGAAGGGAGTGTGTGAGTATGACTTATTACAGATCATGTGTTTACACTAGCATGCTCACCAGACAGAGACGTGCTCTTTCCGGTTCAAATCATCAAAGCTAGAATAGCAAATGGCCAGAGGTAGATATGCAGCACATGACTGTTGAATGAATCAACGAACTCAGCAAACAGAAGGACGTGCCTTTATGTGCTCCCTGATTTTTGTATAGCTTCCACAATCATATCGTAGCACAACTGCTACTGTTCTGTGGCTATGCTCACCGGAATATTTCAGGTGGAATTGATTCAAAAGCATTCTTTTGCGCATGGGCTGATATTCCTGGAAACTCCAAAATACTGCTCCATCCAGGAAATAAGTCCTTGCACCCTACCCAGATTTCCCGTGAATGTGCAGCCTCAGCCCTGTTCTCGTCAATGTTCTATCTTCACCTTACAGGGGCAGTTACTCACTGGGGAAGGGTTTATTAAAGAGGAAAATGAGTGAAAAGTGCTGGGTTTGCACCTGTACTGCCCAGCTCCACTAGAAGAAGCATCCGAGAGCACCTGGGACTCCACAGCTTTCCTCCAAAACCGGTCTTCTGTATTTCCTTCCTCAACTGATGACGACTTTGTTCCATCCAGTCATTCAAGCCAGAAAATTCCCGCATTGACCTATGCATGTTGCTGATATTACCCAGGTAACTCTAAGTTTACCAACCTTCCATCTCTCCCTCACTCTCCACTACCATTGAATGAACTTCAGGTCTGCCTCCCTTAGACAATGCTATTTTCATTTAACATCTACTCTGTCTACAGTGTCAGCACCTGTGCTAGACACTGTGCTGGATGCTGGGGCTCAGCCACGCAGAGGTAGTGTTATTTAGTAGTTTGCAGAGGCTGTGGGCTGATGCAGGTGGTCACTGCATGATACAGCATCCTTTGGAGATTTGTTATGAATATGAGCAGTTTACTGGGCATAGCCGGATGCACATGCCTATAATCCCAGAGACTCTGGAGGCTGAGGCAGGAGGATCATAAGTTCAAAGCCACAGCAATTCAGTGAGGCCCTAAGCAACTTAGTGAGACCCTGTCTCAAATTAAATATAAAAAGGCTGTGGATGTAGATCACACAGGGTAAAGTACCCCTGGGTTCAATCTCCAATACCAAAAAAAAAAAATTCAGAGCATAGCTGTGTGTGGTGGGGGCACATGCCTATAATTCCAGAGGCTGAGGCAAGAGGATTGCAAGTTCAAGGCCAGTCTGTGCAACTCAGAGAGACCCCATCTCAAAATAAAAGGGGCTAGAGATGCATCTCAGTGGTGGGGCATCCCTGGATTAAATCACCAGTCCCAAGGGAGTAAAAGAAGAAGACACAAGGAGCACTATTTGGCCTGTGAGAGTCTCCCACACTTCACTGAACAAAGAATCCTTTTGTCCCATAACAGCTACTAACGCCTCCAAACTGCATTCTACAAAACACACACTGGGCTATTCTCACGAGAATGTAAAGGTCTCAGCAAAGCACTTACATGTGTTTCCCTGGAGATGCTATTATTTTGTTAGGTTCTGTCTCTGGAGAGGCTGCATTCATTCACGAATATGCTTGTTAATACCTGACTTCCCCATTTTATTAATCAAAGATGTACCTAACAGCACCTGTGAAGAGTGCGGGGATGGAGGTAACAAGAGCTGAGGAGTGTCAATTTACATGAGACGGTGACAAAGGGGTTTCCTGGTAGAAGGGATATCTGAGGGTGAATGCAGTTACCTAAGAGCAAAAGGTTTCCAGACAGTGGGGACTAGCAGGTGCAAAAGTGCAAATGTGTAAATCTAATGAGTTTGGGAACTCCGATGAAAGTGGCTGTCACATGACAGCTTCTTCTCCGCCAGGCTGTATGCACATGATACAAGTCTATGAGGTGACGTCTGTGATCCCTCCCCCGCCCCCATTTTTTTAATTTGTTTTAATTAGTCATGCATGACAGTAGAATGCACTGATATACTTTGATGTATCATACATAGATGGGATATAATTTCTCATTTTTCTGAGTATACAAATCAGGGGCCAGCAAGAGATGAGAATGGCTAGCTGGAGAAAAAAAGTCCTGCTTGCCTTCGAGATCTAAGGAATTTGGAGATTATCCAGAAGGCCACGAGAAACCATTGGAGGATTTTAAGTAATATGGAGATGTAGTCAGTGTGTTTGAAAGATCTTAGATGGTACTGGTAATGGAGTGGAAGGGTAGGAAGAATGAAACCAGAGGTAGGAAGAGCTGTTGGGAGATTCCAGTGGAAAAATAACTTCAGTGCTTCTCAAATTTTAATGTGTTAAAAAGCACTTTCTCATCTAGATGGGCTGGGGTGGGGCTTTGAGAGTCTTAGATGTTTCCATCACGTGATGTGGAGGCTACTAATCCACAGAGCACACGGGAAGTAGTGAGTCTGTCCAGGAGAAACGCTGGGGGACCTGGGATAACCACGGGGGGATGGAATCCAAAGGAAAGGCTGGACTACACAAATACAAGTGACCAGATGTGCTGACCGAGCATCAGAAGACAGCCACACTGAGTTGGCACAGCTCCTACCAATCCTAAAGAAGGAATGACTGAATGAATCTGAGCAACTCTGTTTTAGAAGCATCACTTGTCACCACTGCATCTTTGATACACCAATTAGTAGATTGCCTTGGGGCTGTCAGAGGCACAGCCTCAGAGAGGGTGCAGGTTTCCAAGTCACCAAACCAGCTCAGATCACGGCCCTGCCACATACTGGTGTGGTCGTGAAAGGCAAGGACATTTGTTTCTCTTATAAAAATGGAGTGACATCTACTGTGGGGTCACACGTACCCTTTGGGATGTAACTGAAAACCCAGCTCACCGCAGGTTTTTTCTCAGCTCCATAAACAGGGCAGACCCTGGGCGTGGGCTGGCCCCGAGGTGATGGAATCACCAGGGTTTCTCTGAGACTCTTTCTCCGCGATACTCTCTTCTCACCGTGCCCCTCGGTGACAACGACGAAAATAGATTCCAGCGGCTCCAGCCTTTCAACTGACCTCAGCGACCCCAACCAGAAAACCAGGCTTTGTCCTAGTTTCCCAAGAAAGTTTAGAGAGTAGCTTTAATTGGACAGTTGCAGGTCACATGGCCACGGTCGAACCAATCATTGTGGTCAGGGGGTGTGGCCATGCTAATTGGCTTAACAGTGGTCTCGTGCCCCACCCCTTGAGCCAGGAGTGGAGTCCTCTTCCAGGAGGATTCTGCAAACACGAAGTCGGAGCTGTTGGGGTGGGGGTGGGGACATGGATGCTGAGGAGGCATTCGACATTATTCACAGCGACAGGCCATATTCACTTGGGTATCCCTAATGCCTAGCGTAGTGCCTGTGACATAACTTATGTACTTGTTGAATAAATGCTATCGATTTAAATCGTTAAATTAAAAAATGAAAATTTTTCAACAACCAAAAAAAGATTGCACGACTTCAACTCATATGAAAAGTAACTATTGTCGGTCTACAGTAATAAGATCAACAAGCTGGATATTGCTAAATTATAGACTGGGAGAAAAATGGGGATATATATATTCCAGCACCTACTTTAGGGGTCTACTATAATGTTCAGCTAGTTCAGAAAAGAAGTTCTATGTAAAGTATCATGGTCTTCTTTTGCCTGTCTTGGGAGTACAGGAGAATAAAAATCAACTTTTTTCTTTTTCCTCTGTAAAACTTGTCTATAAATGCCCTCTGGGAGTGCAATACAATTGTTCCAAACTAAAGTAAAATAAAATTTAAGAAAAAAACAGGCCAAAAAAAAAAAGTATTTGCTAACTTGAGTTTGTCCTGTACATGGTCTTTAAAATAAAAGAACTGGGCCAGGCACAGTGGCGCATGCCTGTAATCTCAGCAGCTCTGGAGGCTGAGACAGGACGGACGATCACAAGTTCAAAGCCAGCCCCAGCAAAAGCCAGACACTAAGCAATTAAATGAGACCCTGTCTCTAAATAAAAATACAAAATAGGGCTGGGGATGTGGCTCAGTGGTCAAGTGCCCCTGAGTTAAATCCTCAGTACCAATCAATCAATCAGTCAATCAATAAAAGAATTGGTTGAGTTCAAAACAACTCTTTGGGATTGATTCATGTCAGGGTAAAAAAAGAAGCTCGGGGGCAATAAGCATGAGTGGGGTAATCTGGGATAGCGGGACTCCATTCTCTGAGGTCACCATAATCAATTTCTTGCCTCAATTCCATCTAATCCTGAGAAAAGCTAACTGCCTCATCTAGGATCATACAGCTATGAAATAAAGACAGAAGCATTGAGAGTCCTAGGCCTCAGAATCACTCTTCTTGTTATTAGAAAAGATTTCCTTGTGTAAACCTCGGGGACGTTACAAGGGAAATATTGAATTACTGTAATATGACTCATCAGCCCAATTTAATATTACCTATTCATTATAACATAATGATGCTTGCACAACTGGAAACGATGCTGTGTTTCTCCCTCTGGCTTTGTAGCAGGCACACGTATCACAGAACCATCAACATCAGCTAATTACGTGACCTACATATGCAATCGATACGAAGAAATGTTTTAATTACTCGGTATTCACGGCATGGAAAATATATGGTCTAATTTTGGTCAACATTAGCATCTAGGTAATGCTGACTCAGAAGGAAAACATTTGTTGTTGCCATGAGCAGTGGAATGGAAAGGCTGAATCACCCTCTATTGCATCAAATGCTACTACTATTAATATAATGTGCTAAACAGCTTGAGAGATGGAATGAGACCACCCCCTCCGACCAACAGGTTCGTAATCATACCAGCAGACAGAAGCACACGCTCTACCACGGAGTCCCCATCATATTTTGAAAACATAGACTATTGCTGGTCATCATCAACTAAAGCTCATAATTATCTAATGTGTGTGTGGGGGGGGGTTTGGTCAATGTCACCAACGTAGCTTCCTAATCAAAGCAGAGGTTGCAGACACCATGCATGCCAACAGGACCGATGATGGAAATGACATACTGAGCAGATTGTAAAATAGTAAACTGTCCCAGGGAGGCAGCAGATTCATGGCAGGGACCGCAGCACATGGCTTAATGGAGAATTCTAGCAGCCATGTCCTCTGATCTGCCCCCTTTTTTGAACTGCCACAAACTCAGACTTTGGATACAAAATTTCCCAAGTCTTCAAACCTTGTGGGTGTCCTAAAAAAAAAAAACCACAGTGTGGCCTATTCATTCCCAACTGCCAATCTAAAATATCCTAGCAATTCCATCATTTTAGCAATAAAATATAAGGATGTGATGCAGAAAATGGAAATACCTACGCCTAGTTTATTGTCGGACGTGTGTAGCTGTTGACTTTCCCTGCATACTGAGAGTTCCCTTCCCGCTAGCATCCAAAATTACATCCAATATCCATTTCCGTGAAAGTGTGGATCCTCACACCTCGGTGGTCTGGCATCCAGCACACTGCCATGTGAGACGCTTCCAAAGCAGCACCTGCTCCCTGCGTCTATATAAATGAAAATAAATGGGAGTCTTGACAAATGTTCAGTTACTCTGAGCAGAATCTGCTTCACTCAGGCATCTCCAATCCTTGATCGAGCATTTTTCCCCAGTGGAAATCCCTGTTTCCAGAGACCTATCCTCCAAAGTGAATGTATTCAATAATATTTACTTTTAATCAGAAAAAGACAAGGGTTCTTCATGAGTGGCTACGGCTCTAGCTGAAAATCTGTGCAGTCATATCATGGGTAAATGTTTGCTTTAAAATGCTGACCTGGTATCGTTATTTTTACAAACCTCCTGAGGATCTGGAAACCTCCCTGGTCCGTTTCAGCAACGCAAATTTCAGGGAGCCAGTTTTTTAAAATTTATTTAACAAATTTTTAGTCCCAGCCACTATTCTCACCTGTCTTATTACTGCTTAGGATTTGAACTGTCTCTGCTTTCACTCTTACCATGTCCCCCATTATTTAAATACATGTAATGAAAGGGCATTGTTTGGGGGCTGAGTTTCTGCACAGACCAGGCTAAAATAAATAAATTAATTAATAGATAAAATCAAAATGGAGTCACTCATGCTAAAATTTCACATCACCAAGCTGAAACCAAGCTGTTTATCCAACCTTCTGGGAAATCAGGATTGTTGAGAGATCAGCCAAATTTCACAACCAGGCCAGGTGCAATTGGCATGACAATGGAGCTCCTTCTGCTTTAATTCTTACACAGAAGTAACCTGAAAAAAAAAGGGGTGGGGTGTTAACTAATCCATTATTTTCCTTTTATTCTGTCTCCCTGCCCCCCACTGCATTAAAGAAAATAACTTCAAAACGGCCAATTTGCTTTTTGGTTTTGTTTTCTTTAAACCCTTCTCTGTCTATAAAACAACCTCCTTTGCTTGAGAGATTTCATTTACCTAATTATTTATTTTGGAGCATTGCTAAGGATGGGACCTGGCCTCTGCACATGCCAAGCAAGCTCTCTACCGCCGAGCTACACCCTAGCCCTTTTTATTTTGAGGTAGGTTCTTGCTAAATTGCCCGGGCTGGCCTGGAACTTGGAATCCTCCTGCCTCAACCTCCCAAGTCAGAGAGATTATAAGAATGTACCACCTTGCCCAGGTTCAGTCCTACTTAAAAAAAAAAAAATCAGAAATGCCCAAATCCAAAACCACTGCAAAAAATATGAACATGGCCTTCCAATTCCCCAGTGGTCTTCACTTTCAGGATCCTAGTCTCCTACTTCACCTCTTCTCTCTGCCAAGACCATCCCTGATGGAGAAGAGCTCACGGAAGGCCAGACGTCTGTGCGGCTTGGGAGGGGAGAGAACACAGCTCCACTGTCCTCCTCCTCCGGGGTCTAGTTGGACCATGGTCTATGTGGCCACACTTTCATTCCTCGACTTCCTTTGTTCTTCTTCCTTGACGTTCTCCGGGGCACACGGTTCTGAAGGAAAAAATATATTGTTTTTTTTTTTTTCTCTCTCTGGTCCTATGCTCAATACAGTGCACTCCTGTGACTAGATGTATGGGATTTGCCCACCCAGCGAGCGAGCAATTCTCCAGCAGCAGATACTCAGGTGTGATTCCATTCCACCCTGACACTCTCTACCTGGAGGGAGATCCCACAGGTTGAAGGCCCAGTCAGTCCCACAAGACTGTCCCTGCTTCGGATACCAGTTACAGACAGTGAGTGTTAAGTATATTTCTGTAAAAGAAATGTGATATTCGTCAGAATCAAAATGGAGTCTCTTGGGTCAATCCCAACCAAAAAAACACTGGGAGGTTTTCAAAGAAGGGTCCTTCCACAGGACTGCCTGGTGGTAACTCTCACAAAGACTCTGCCAGACCACAAGGGTGCACAGAGGCCACCATAACCTTGTACAGAAAGCCCTTCTACAAGGACATCTGCCCAGTATCTGACTGTTCAACCTCAGATTGACACCTCCCTTGTTAAGATTCACTGTGGCCAAGGATCACTGTTTCCAAAGAGCTACTGTGATCCTTTACAACCTTACCCTTCATGAAGCTCAGTGAGCACTTGCCGAGCATGCCCAAGGCCCTGGGTTTGATCCCCAGCACCAAAATAAAACAACAATGAATCCCACCATTATGTACAACTAAAATGCATCAATAAAGATAAATACACATGGGAAGAGCAAAAACTTCCCCTTGGCTCAACTCTTTGAATATATGCATAGACTACGATGGCACGTGTATTCCACTGCAATGCTCTTTCCAAATAAATGTCATTATTCTTTGGAGACTGTCATTTTGCTTGTTTTATTTAGTCTGATACTCCTGGCTGACTGGCTGTGAACTAGGGCTCCCAGTATTCCCTCTGCCGCGCCCCTCCCCTGACTCAGGCAATGGCAAGGCCCTACTGAGGTGGATGGCACAAGGCGTCGTCCATCCTCTGGAGGAGTGCAGTATGTTTCTGGGAATGGGCTGGTTTGTTTTTGTATTCCTTTAATAAGTATAGTTGCGATTTCTCATATGACCATTAAGTAGGAAGGAAAAAACATGACTTTCCCAATTAATGCAACTACTTCTAAGAAGAGATCTGTTTGCTCTAAATGCAATGATTCAGCTGTGGAGTGTAAATTGTTAATGTCTAATGAAAAACTCCCTGTATTCCTGTCAAGGAAGTTTTTGAGAAATTAAATTAAAATCTAGAGAAGAAGAATCAATGTTAAGAAGACAGATTGGTGCTTAGTACTGGGCAACTCGTTCTTGTTCCTGTGCACAATGGTTTGTGCTCTTACTCTTGTTTGATTAAAATTAATAACAAGTTAACCACTTGCCGTAACCATGGCACCTGTTCCAGTCAGTAAGTCAAGAAAGAATAGTCAAGGTATAGGCCAATAGTTGGGACATTTCTAACTATTATTAAAAGTCAACTAAACAGAAACAGCTCAAGGCAAAACGCGAACTGAAAGGAAAAATGCTTGCCAAGATACATTCTTCTATTCTAATTGTAGCTACGTAATATTTTGTTTCTTTGAATAATGATTCCTGTTTTGTAACCACAAAGTACTGTGAGCCTGCCAAAATGAAAAGTATGTACGATCAACTTCACAAGTAAAGATTGGGATCAGATGTTGAGAGCCACAGCCAAAGGGGCCCCAGCAAACTTCCAGCTGCCAGCAAACTTCCAGCTGCTGGCTGATGATTGGCTCACAGCGGCCCCAGCAACATCTAGCTGATTGGCTCCTCGGCCCCAGCAACATCTAGCTGATTGGCTCCTCTGCGGTGATGCTCATTGGGCTGTTTCCCTGCCCTTTCAGACCACGGAGCTGCTCATTGGGGGACTTTTTTGGCTCCACCCACGTGACCCAGCCAATCGGCCTCAAGAGCAGGAGGATTGTGGGAGGTGGGGAGAAGCTTGTGTGGGAGAGAGAGGCTTGTGGAAAGCCGGTGGTGGCAGTTGAGGCTCTGAGGGTTTTTCCTGAGAGGCTGTTTTGTTTGGCGTGTGTGGTTCTAAAAATAAAGTTAGTTTCTTTTGACAAGTGGCTCCTGATTGTGCCCAGCCAGACTGCGGCAATCAGCACCTTCACTTTGGTGTCTGTGTTGTTTCTCCACCCCCCCCCCTTCGCCGACTCCTCACCATCCGTTCGTCTCCTGAGACCCCCTGTTGGAGCTGGTCTCCGACATCCCTCCTTGGGTTCAATTAATTTGCCAGGATGCCATACAGAACTCAGGGAAACACGTTTACCAGTTTACTGTAAAGGACACAGATGAACAGCCACATGAAGTATGTATAGACAGTATCTGGAAAGGTCCCCGCCCAGGAGCCTCTGTCCCCGTGGAGGGGTATGGGGTATGTTCACCAGCCTGGAAGCTCGCCGTATCTTGTTCAAGAGTTTTGTAGACCAGCAACTTGGGAGGCTGAGGCAGGAGGATCTCAAGGTTGAGTCCAGCTTCAGCAACTTAGCAAGACCTTGTCTCAAGACAAAAAGGGCTGGGGATGTAACTCAGTGGTAGAGCACCCCTGGGTTCAATCCACAGTACCATTAAAAAAAAAGAAAAAGAAAGAAGGAAAAATTGTAGAGCTTTATTTCCAGCCACCTCCCACCCCTTTCCTGAAGGCTGATGAGAGAGCTGAAAAGCCCACCTTCTAATCCCCTGCGGACTTGGTCCTTCCTGATGTGGTCGGGTTAGGAGACCTTTAGGCTGCTGTCGGATCCTGGCTCACCCTTGGAGTGGTATAAGGTTGGGTCTGATGAGCCACGGACCAGACAGCCTCTAATTTCCGATCTGGATGGTCCTGTCCGTCTTGTGTGGTGTTAGGTAGGAGTTCAGGGACCCCAAGATGGCAGAGGCAGGACGCAAGAGAAGTGCTGCTAGAGGACAAGACAGGGAGAGGAGCCACCGTGTCCCTGTTTGCAAAAAGTCCCACTACCATGACAGCTCCTGCCGCCGAGGACATGTCACCCCTGGTAACTTGGGCCCCAGGTCCAGGATTCTAACCAATGGGGATAAAGTGGACAGTATTTCTAATTAGCTATTCTAAAGTAGCCAAGGGGGGGATTTGGACAGTATCCTGACAGAGTGCCATTAGGTACCAGTGAAGCCAGTGGGGGAAGGTCACCAATCTGGTCTGTACAGAGAAGAGACTGCCTCATAGTTTCGCATACAGCACAGGAATGTCCAGACGTGGAGGCCTTGAGCCTGTCCCCACCCCCCTCTCTCTGCCCCACCCCCTCTCTTCTGGCCCACTCCGCTCTTACACCTTCACCTTCAATAAATCTGCATTTTGCCTGTTACTTCTGTGTGTCTTGCTCAATTCTTTGTTTGAGACACCAAGGACCTGGTCCTATGCCCCAACGATAACATCTGTACCCAAGTCTTCTTTGGGTGTCTCAACTATGATCTTTAGGCGGACGTCACATGCTAATATCCTTCACCATTTGAAACCTCGTTCTTTCTCCATGCACCCACTCAGGAACAATATTTTAGATTCTGCTCGACTTCAACAGAGCTATTTTTAGACCTTTGTAAGCTCCTGACACCATTTCTTCCAGAGGATTAACCTACATAATATCAAGCATGTTAAAATGCACCCACGTCCCATATCGCCTTTAATGTGGATGATATAATTATATGGATTGAGCTGCAAGTGACTCACATATTCTGCAGGAAAGCCACGGGAACTTAATTTATTTTGATTTTTTGAGTGGTTTTCTTAAAATTTTGAACATGTGTGTGCATACACATATATATGCATATATGTATGTGTGTGTATGTGTTTATATTTGTAACGGGGGCTTCTTAAAAATTGAGGATTTAGTGTTTGGGCACAGCCGCGCACACCTGTAATCCCAGGGGCTCCGGAGGCTGAGGCAGGAGGATCACAAGTTCAAAGCCAGCCTCAGCAACCCAGGGAGACCCTGTCTCCAAATAGAATATAAAAAAGGGCTGGGGGACTGTAGTTCAGTGGTAAAGTACTTGCCCAGCATGTGTGAGGCACCGGATTCGATTCTCAGAACTGCATATAAACGAATAAATTAAATAAATTTCCATGGATAACTTTAACAAAGGGCGGGGATGCTGGGGATGTGGCTCAGTGGTATAGTGCCCCTGGTTCAATCCCTGGGACCAAAAAAAGCAGCTGGGGGGGGGGTGATTTAAAAATATGACTCAGTCTTGTCCTGATCAACTCCATTCTGTCCTGCGACTTATTCCTTCTTTGTAAGCTATTTCTCTTTCCCAGTTTATCTCAAGTTCCAGAAACAGTAAACCCTGCAGGCGGTCACTTCATTCAGGGACTTGAAATTGACCCAAGCAATACTTTTCCCTGGTACCAGCAGGAGCCCACAGACCCAGATCAAGCAGACCAGGGCTTGACTTCCCATCCCCCACCTTGCTGTGCCCTCCCCTCTACAATCCTGCAGTGGCTGTCAGTGCTGGGGAGAGAGTTTTCTTGGGAGCTCACTGGACCTTCTTCGTATGGCCACACCCAAACAAACCTCTTTCCTGCTTCCCCACGGCCTCTCTCCCTCTCCTCCGCCTCAATCCTCTCTGTCTCTCCGCTAATTGGACTCTTGAGGTGGCAGGTGGCCAAACCTGGTTTGTCAAGATCCCCAGGCTCAGGCCTTTGGCCTAGGACTCTAGTAACATATATATTCCATACTTCAAGTTTCATACTTTTTATAAACCCTTAAAAAAGTCATAGACCCTGAGCACTATACCCACAGTGCCCAAATGATAAAGTGGCCTAGAACCAGGCTCTGTACACCCTGCAAAACAGCCTTGCTCCACTTGGCATGATTGTATTTGGGGTGGATAATTCTTTGTTGTAGGCACTGTAGAAGGTTTAGCGGTGCCTCAGCCTGTACCCACAAATGCCAGTACATCCCCCAGTTGTGTCCACAAAAATGTCTTCAGACAATGCCAAGTGTCCCCAGGGGGTAGGACTGCTACATAAAACACAGAACACCCAGTTAAATTGGGATTTTGGAAAAAAATAACAAATGATTTTTTTTTTATTCCTTTAAACAATGTCATTTAAAGGTCATCACTGGTTTTATTTTCAATTGTCGAATCAAGTAACACTGCGT